ACATCACTAACAATAAGAATAGAATACATGAATTTTATTTTTAAAATAGAAACCAAGACATGATATACTTATAAATTTATAGAATATCGTGTGGCCATAAATAAGCTGAATTAGTGAATTTGGGTCACAATCGCACAAATTTATATGCTTAATTCATAAAATAATAAGAAAATTTTAAACATATACCGACGCAGGAAAAAAAGTCCTATTTAAAAGTTTAATAAGAATTTTCCTCCTGTATATATAGAAGAAAGTAACGCGCATCATTTTATAATACGCATGTTATATGAAAATATTTTTTGTTTTTATTACGTCATAATTTTGATTAACGACATACTTGAAACATTTTTATGTATATTCCAAGACTATGTAATTTTTAACAAACACACATACCACTAACAAAGATAAATGAGTTTCATTTATACTTTATAGCACTTTCTCAACAATCAGTTTATGATTCAGTCATTTATGAATGGGGTGATCATAAAACAAAAATAAAAAAAAAAGAAGAAGAAAAAGGCCCCTTAAAAATCGATCGCGCGCAGCATCTTTGACAGCTCGAGTTGAAATTTATTTATGGGGGTCAATATATAGGGAGTGTATTTGAAGTGAACGGTGTGTTTCTAGTTGAGCGACTAGAGTATATGCGTACATATACTCATTTAAATGAAATAAATCTTGTTACGAGTAATTTTCGTCCAGCGGCCGCCGCCGCCGTTTCGAAGGCGAAGGGCTTTTAAGCCAACGGTCGAGAAAGAGCGAACTAGCCAGTAGACGAGACAAATGGATTTCGTTCCATCAACCGATCGATCTCTGTAGTGTGATTAGATTCCAACTTCCCCTAAGGATAACTATTGGTGAAACTTTGTCTCATCCACTTCTTTTTTTCCAGGCTACTTTATCATTTGAATGAAAGTGAGAATTGAAACAAAAAAAACTAAAAATTATTACTAATTTTGAAAATCAACATATATCGTAAATATTGCGGCATAAAACTCAAAGGAAAATACAGTCCCAACAATGATTCATCTTATCAACAATGTTATCATCGGATATGTTCTTTTGAAGTGAGCCGATGAAAGAACTCAAAAAACTGACTTCTGTTTATGTTTTGAACGTCAAGTCGTATTGTGGCGAGAGGTCCATTCGTGACTGGAGTCTGTATCTTTCTTCACTGATGTTTTTTTTTTTTTTTTATTTTCTCTCTCTCTCTTTCTCTCGTTCTTCAACTCTCATTCAGTTCTCTGGACTCCAAGAGAGGTCGGGCAGGTTCTTCTCGCAAAGAGTTTTTTACTCGAATATTTCCTTTTGCGTTCGTTCATTTTACCGGTGTGTCCCAGGTCCGACCCCATCGCCTGGGTTCGTTGAACGCTCTCCTGATGCTTTGCTTCTTCTTCTTCTTCTTCTTCAACATCTTTCCACTCTCGCCATTCGCAAATCTTGGTTTAAGGGCCTCAGCCATACGGAAGGGGAAAGAAGTAAAGCTAGCTCCAGTCCCTTTTCGGAAGTGCACTCGAGATTTCTTCAATCGTCTCGAGCTTTCGCTACGAGACGGTTTCTTTAGAAGTGCCTAGGACTTACTCGCACAAGAAGTCTTCACGTTTATGGAAAATAAATGTTTTCTATTGAAAGAAGCCTATATATATATAAAAAAGAGTATTTAATTTATAAAGTTTCTTGAAACACAAAACTATTACACTTCTTTTTCGAAAAAGAACCTATCTCCATCTCATACTGATAAAATAAAATCTTTTTTTTTTCAAATTCAATTTGATATCACCCGAAATGTATAGTTTATGTAACGCAAGGGTATTTTTTCCCACTCGAACGATTGTATATAATAGCAAACCCCTATACTAGTGTTGCATAACCTTTACGTCACTGTATTTTTTTAATTTAAAAAAATAACATGAAAAAAATCAACTTATTGTTAACTATATATCCAATGGACTGTTATGTAAAAACTTTATCACCTGAGATTTGAATCGGTATGAATTATTTTTTTTTGTATTTATAATACACATTATATTGTATTGTAGTATATATTAGTTAAAATTTGGGTATTAATTTTAAAACAAAATTTTTTGTAACAATTGTTATATTGTACAACCAGCGATAATATTGTTTTCAACAACTATTAAAATTCAAAATGTTATTTTGTACTCTCTAAATCTGAATCAGTAGAAGTTTTGCTAATTCAATCAGTACTTTTCATTTCAAATGAAGTTTCAGTTATTTTTTTAAATTTACTATAATATAATTAGTGAATATGCAAGCAATAGAAAATAACTTATGTAAATCAGTAATTTGTATATAACATAACCTTTAAAATTAACTATTAAATCAGTGCCGCCGCCATATATTTATATTACTGATTCAATCAGTAATTGATATTTTACTAATTGAATCAGTAAATTACTACTAATTGTCAGTTGCTCAATTCTCGCTATGGCAATTAGTAGATTTCTACAGCTAATCAGTAAAATATAACTGATTCAGATTTAGAGAGTATATAACTGAAAATAATACATTAATTTATTTTTAAAATTAAAAATATAACAATAGTACTAAATAAATTTTTGTATTTTAATAGTTATACACCGGTAATCACCGATTGTACAATATATAACAATTGTTTGGAAAATTTTTGTTGCAAAGTAATATTTTTTTCCAATTCTTTTTTTTTTCTAACAAAGTTCAAATTCTATTTTGTTTTCTAATAAATTTGAATTCTCACCAATAAATTTAAATTTCTAAAGAAGTTCAATTTGAAATTATTTTTTATCATTCTCAAGAAACTTCGAAAAAGTCTTATCAATTGTTTTTGTATCCAAATCAAAATTATTCGAAATTACATTGTGAAAATCAAAATTGTAAAATTTTAAATTGTAATAAATATAATACAGAACAAAATGGTTGTAAAACTAAAAAAAAGTCGCAAAGGAAATTTTTTTTTTAAAAGAGGTATAATATAGAAATCATTTGTTAGAAAAATAATATTTTAGAAATCAAAGATTGTTAGAAAATTTTTTTTTAGAAAAACAATTTCATTAGAAAAGGGGCTTTTTTTTAGAAAAAAAAAGAAAATATTTTTTTTTTCGTAAAAACGACCACCTACCGAGTAAATAATAAAAGTTATCTTTTTTTTTAAATAAATAAAATAAACTTTAATTAAGCTTATGTAAATTTAATTGGTAAATTAGGTCACAATCTTATATATGCATTAGAGGCATTTCACACTTTCTCCGCAATGTATCTTTTGCAAATGCAAGATAGAGAGACCAATATCTTATCACAGTACTCGATGCGCAAATACCGGATTCTCGAGTTTAAAGTGAGCAACGCGATGCGGTAGGTCGAAGATATGAACGCAATTGAGACAGGTAAAACCGCCAAGCAATTTCCTCAATCTGCACAAAATCTGTCGTCAACAAAAATGAAAAAAAATAGCTCTAAAAAAAACCCTCGAACGAAATTGTAAATTCAATATTTTTTTTTTTTTTAATTTTTTTACTAACTGACAAATAAAAGAAAAAATGAAATGAAACAAGATTAATTCCTCTCTCTTGCACATGAAAATTACTTTACAATCCCATTTTGTAATTCATTTAATATATAAATCGAATTTGAATAAATGAGCGATTCTTCGTCAAAATGTCATTCAATTTAAATTAATTACAATTAAATTATTTTCCAAATGAAGTATAGATATTACTTTTACAATTCATTTTTATCATATAAAAATTCAATATAACTAATTAACTCAATTATTTGAAAATAATTTTTCAAACTTTATAATAGTGAAATTAAATTATATAATTATTTCATTTAATAAATTTAATTTGATTTAGATTTTCTCGCATATAAATTTAATAAAGCAATAAAGAGGGTAGATGAATGAATGCATTAATTGATTTCGATTCAATTTACCCCGCTGACTTTATATTTGGTAAAGACTTTAAATATACTGGCACAATAATATTCATAAAATTTGCATTTCCCTTCATTGTTTACTTTTGTGTCTGGGTCACCGTATTCTTTGCTCAGGGTCTAAAAGGGAATAATGTCAACATATACATTTATGGAGCATTGATAAAAGGGACGTCTCTATTCAAAATTTTAATCTGACAGTAAATAACACCTGGACCAGCCAGTATAAAAATATTTTCCACTTAATATCTCTTCTAAATATTTAAACAAATTTAAACCATTCTAATCAATTTATAAAAATTTTCTACTAAGCATTTGATAAAAAATTCATTTTCCCTAAACAAAAAATTCTTAAACTGAGGATGTAAATTAAAAAATATTAATTAAGTGAAATTAATTTTAATTTTGAAAAATAAATTTATAACGGATGCTGCAAGCGAAAACTAAATTTTTTTTTAAATAACAAATTTACATTCTCACTAGAATTTTTTATAACCAAGAAAAACAACATTTTTACTACAATAAATTCTCAAGTTTTTAAAAAAGTTTTTAAATCGAGTATATAACTTTATAAAACAGTTTATTGTAGAAACGAAAAATTTCTTTTATTACGGTTCGTGTTTTGTCAAGCAATAAACTGAACAGAACCAAAAAATTCTGTGGTAATAAATAAAAGCCCGATTTATGATTTTATCACCAAATCACTTTCCAATTCATGAGTGTTAAAACGAAATTTGTAAGGACATGAAATTTAAATTGATCATTAAAAAACTTTCGAAACATAATGAAAAGAAGATTTTAAACTTTGGATAATTTTCATCGTTTAAAATTGCAGCATCATAAAAAAAATGTACACGTGAACAATTACAATATTTAAAAACACAAATTGTATAATATATCACCAATAGTATAAGAAACGTAATTGTTATACGTTGATTTTTCAAAACACACAAAATAGTACAAAACAATATTTCGAAGTTTAAAAAAGTATCTACTTTTTAAATAATAAACTAACCTAAAAACCATATTTCTAGGGGAAATAATAAAATTTAAAAAAAAAATTGACTCACCAATTTGTTGATTGTTGAAAAGGATCCGTGTTTTAATAAAATATCACCAATGTCATGCTCACGTAAATCAAAGAAATAAATAACAAACAGTTCACAAAATTAGTTCCCAACTCAAGTCACTTTGATGATAAAACTTCCAGTCGATGAAAACGATCACAAAATTGAAAATTGTTAATAATAAGATAAATTATAAAATTGTTATAAATGATATTTCTATCCTTGATACTTTGCTCCGAAAAAAAGGAAAACATGTAACCTGCTCTCTATATAGAACCGCTCGGTTCGAGAACTCGCGCTCAACTGGTCGCCGGCTCCTTCGCGCGGATTCCACCTCGACCAATCGGAATCGAGACTGCGCGGCGCGCGCCTCAAACGTGCAACAATGCATATGTGGGAATTTCGAATTTGTGTGTACGTGTGTTTGTGTGCAACCCTTGGTCTATGTGCGACACGGTCAACCCTCATCAGAGGGATTGAGCGAGCCAGCGGCCCCAACAGCGACATCCTTTATCATGGAAATGCAGGGGTCGTTGCACCAACCGGTGTATGCGTACACAAGTCTCTCTCTTCTCTCGCGTAAACGCCGAATCTTAAGATTATCATTGCTCTCCTCTCCTTTCTATCTCACTCTACTTCCTCTATTTTCTTTATATATCTTTGTCTTTATCTTCCTGTTCTTTTTATCTTTTCCTCGGATGGACTTCCGGCCTTTTCTGACTTCTTGTACCAAGGGCATATCTCTGTGAATCTCTCTCCTCCCGTGGTTGCTTTGTATATCTGAAATGAAAAGAAAGTTTACTATTCGTGATAATTCTCGACTTTTAACAATGGAGGTGTACACTTTAATATTATTTAATGTAGACTTTTTAATTGATATGTCAATATTTTATACACTGAAAAAATGCTGTGCGAATAAAAGCGTAAAAGTTAGGTTAAGATTACAGTTTATTGTTAATCTGAAAAAAAAAAATTTATTTTACCTTTCTTTTATTAGCCGTGTATTCAGAAATTAATAACACTGACAAAATGTTTGCAAAGAAAATGAGGTTAGGTTTCATAGCACGACGTTAAGTCAAACAATGCACAGTTAAAAAATAATTTCACTACTAACATAACAGTCTCTTAAGCACTACTCGTTTGTTTTTGACAAAATTTTTTACAAATTATAACGTTTTGTTTCAATAATCCGACAATGAAAAAAGATGTTTTCACGGCGCGAAACACTAGCGCAAATGAATCTCTAACCATGCGCGCGCAGGACTTGCAAACATACGTATAATTACCGGAACATGGCGAAATATACGGAACTGACCGTATACAGCCGCTACGCATGCGCACATACAGTCTTATGAAGAAAAGTAATCATAAATATACGTTTTTTTTATTAGAATTTAGAAACAGTGCGTTAATTTGACGATATTAAAGTACATAATTATATTATTTAGTTTATCAAGTGTCATAGTACATGTTTAATTTACACTGATTATGTGAAATATGTATACAGAAATAGAAATCCTAACCTCAAAATCTACAGCGAAAGATCTCGTGATTATTTCTTCGTTTTATAAATATTAATTACAACTCTTACAAAGAAAGTAAATATACAATAATAATGAAAAATATTAAAATTCATTGTCAAAATAGTTTTCAAAAAATATACAATACAATAATAAACAAATATAAGAAAATGTGTGAATAAGGGGAAAAAGTGACTTCTTTACTTTACCCCAATGATGATAAAAAATGATGTCCCCTCAAATTTGGAAGAAATCGATTTCACGTCTATCATATATATCAAAAGAATCATGGGAAAAATCAACATTTGTGACACTTACAATGAAAAGTAGAAAAACAAGTAAGTAAAATAAACATACTTTTGTTACTCAATTTTCATTTATTTTTCTCTGTGCGTGTAAAATATATTTTGTAGAAACCTAGTTGTCATCTTAATATTTTTCACACATCGTTTGTAAGGCAGTCTTCAATTTTTCAACTCATTTCAAAAAAAAAAAACCTAAGTAAAAGCGCGCTTGCGAAACAAAAAAACATGTAAAACATCAACTTTTTTTCTCGGCACTCGCCCCCCTTATTGTCGGTATATATGGAAAGAGAGGGAGAGAGAGAGAGGAGTTTCAAAACCAGAAGCCGAAAAAAGTACTGAAGCGCGAGGAAAACAGAGGTAAAAAGCTGAGCAACTGAGCAAAGAATATGTTGAACGTCAACGAACGGTCGAGTGTTAAAACAAACCGACTGGCACGAGCCATTATGGTATCAAGGAGATAAAACTCTTTTGAATGGGGTTGAGTGAAGTAATATCCAATATGTGTGACAGGCCATGCAGAACATTTTGGTTGTACTTGACAAAACCACTGACTTATAATTTTTAAGCTTGAAAGATCAAAAAGTCAAGTTAATTATATTTTAAATTATTCATTATTAAAAAATTTATTGCGAGAAATAATATGAAAAAAAATGCAATAATATTTATAAAAAGAAAATTCAGGATAATTTATAGAAACATGGTTATAAAAAATTTATATTTGTCAAAATTATTGATGATTATTTTTGCAATTTTACATCAATATTTTAATTAATATATGTATAATTATACGCGTGACACAAATATATTTATAAATTCGGCTCACAAAGAATTGTTTTTCGATATTTTTCTTCACATAAATAAAGCGCATATATCAATTAATATAGATATATATATATGATATTAAATATCCTTTTATGTAATCATTTCAAATCAACAATATAATTTAACTATACATATTATTCTGTCAGTCGATATAACTTTAATTGCCCACGTGGCATGACAAACGAAGCTTGACTTTTGAACTTGTTATTAAATTAACGTTCGTTATGCTTATATTTAAAAAAAAAATAGAATTTTGATATATAACCATTATTTCATGCATCAGGTGATATTAAAAGTCGAAAAATAAATTATCTAATTTATGATTTGAGAGAAAGACTAACAAAATTAATTGTAAAAATAATTTTCATTTTGCCTTGAAAGTACTCTTATTTTAAAAAAATTCCCGAGTATGACATTGGAATGATGAATATACGATATATATAAAAAAGTAAAAGATGTGTCTTGAGATGTAATTTCTGGCAGACTGCACCTGGACATTTTATATATGTATACAAGATCGTGGGTTAGAGTGTTCTGGTTTGAATGTTTATAGTTTTCGAGAAGCTGGGGTCGGAGGTACACACGTGACTGCAAATAACGAGAGACACTTCTCTGCACCTGGGTGATATAGTTTTAAGATGTTATTGCAGTGGTCTTTCACAAAAAAACAAGGCAACAAGCTTAAATTAGTACTTTATATATACGTAATATTAAATATATAAATGCAAAAAAAAAAATTTTTATATTTTTTTTTTAAATAAATATTTTATAAAAATAAATTTTTAAATAATTTAAATGTAAAAAAACATGTCATTTGTAATTTCAGTAATATAACAAGAGAGAGAGAGAGAGAGATGAAAACACAGATCGGTATTGAACGATAAGAAAAGAAGCATCAGCGGCAATTTAAGAAAAGACGATGAAGAAGAGAGAAACTTCTTCTAAACTCGTTTTGGTGAGTTTTTTTTATCAAAAGTTCGCTTTAATGCCAAATGCATTAAAAAGTCTTTACGCAGAGAGGACTAAAACGTATTCACGGCCGGTTTGAGACTAATCTAAAACTCTGTTTGGGAAGATCCGATAACGAGTGGTAAAGCACAGTCTATCATCGACGCAGCATCCTGCCTCCTGGACCGCCTTACTTATTAACGAGGAACTCCCCGGGTATAATGGGCCATGGGCCTCGTTAAGAACTTACTTAAATCCCACTTTAAGAAGAAACTGTTTCACTAACTTCCTGCAATCGACTTTTGCTACACGATATCCTCTCTCTCTCTCTCTCTCTGACTCCAACTTTCTGGGATGGTTTTATAAAAAGCAGATAATAAAACTTATGTTCCCTAGTGTAATATTTAAATCAGTGAAAATTTTCATTGATAATAATGAAGATAATAAAGATAATAATAAAAATAATAAAAATAATAATAAAGTTAGTAATAAAGAAAATAATATTTTTCCTTATATGGAAAAACAAAAATAACTATTGGAAAATGAAATAAAAAAAATGCTTTTTGTAAATAAAATTATTCATACTCTATAATTAAAGGAGTATAAATATTAATTATAATGTTGCATATATACTCTAAAAGCTTCAATTACTCACTCTATAATATGTATGTACATATACAACATTATGAAAGTTGACATTAAACACTCAAACAGAATTAATATTGAACATGATTTATAAAATGAAGAATAAATTAAAAATGTCGTATAATTTTCCGATAAACCATTTTAGTTTATAATAATAAAAAAAAAATGTATAATTAAAAAATTTATAATTAAGAATTTTTGATCTTAATTCAATCGCACATTTTCTATACAGGAAATTGTAAATTCTATTTTCATTGCGCAATTTTCAATGAGAAGAGATTATATAAACAAGATATGAATTAAATATAGGTACGTTATAGATAAAAAAAAAAAAAGAAATTAATACTGCTAACAAAAAAGAAAAAAAAAGAAAGAAAGGGTACTAGTGCGGTATTAAATGGCGAATGGGTCCTGGAGATGTTTTAAGCCTCACTGGAAGTGCAGAGGCACGCATGATGCCACACAATTCTAATTTCAATTTAATGCCGATTTATTATGACGATCGCGCGCGGAAATGGTCGCATAGGGTGAAACGCGTTTTGCACCCAAGGGCTATGTCCGTTCTTGTAATAATGTCGAATCAACGTTGGTCACGTTCCACATGAATGATGTTACTCTCTCTCTCTCTCTCTCTCTATCTCTCTGTGTGTCTTCGATTTGGTCGCATATTTTTTTTTTTAGTCTGGCCACGAGCCGGATCGTGACACTCGTAAGTCCACGCAGGATGAACATTTATGAATGTACCAGTCCTTATTTGGATATATACGAGGGTAAATCAGCCATATATTGTTCGATATTCTCTCTTCGTCGATTATTGATAATGATAAACTATTTTGCGCGCGTATTTACAAAAAATTATTATAATATAATATTTTATAGAAAAATTGATTCAATTTTTTTTTTTTTGAATCATTGTAAAAAGTCTGATGATGATTTAATTTTTTGAATGAGTCGTAAAATTGATCTTTTTGTAAACATAATATGCGCACATAATATTATTCCTTTATATGTATATATATATATGAATTTGATTTCATGCTAAATGATTCAAGGAGGTTCTTCACTTGACAGTAAATCTCATTTTGAATTGCCGACCTTAACCTTAGTGACGTGCAATATTTTTGCTTCCTCGAATATAAGTGCCGACTTACTAGAGAAACTATTTATGCCTTTTAAACCTGTCAAAATTTAAATGGATTGAATATGAAATGAAAAGTGATACTCATTTTACTCGTTTATCATTTAAATTTTTATTATTATATTCTTTCTTCTTAATTGCAAATATATATATATACACAAGATTATTTTTATTATTCCACAAATATTGTATTCTAATCTTTATTTATTTTTTTGTTTTAATTAAAACTGTCAAAGTTTTAAAAACAAAAAAAAATATATTTAAAAAAGTGAAGAAAAAAATAAAATAAAAAAATATTTTATTTTTTTCAGCAACATTAATGAATTTTCAAAATAGTGATAATACAAATTTGTTTATAGTTTTAAAACTTTAATTAGAAATATTTTGTGATTAATATTGTATTTTAATTTCTTATCATTTTTGGAATAAATTTCCCTTCTTTTGTAATTTTATTTATTATACAAAAATTGAGTAACCTTCTATTTTTGTACAAATCTCATAAAATTCCGATACATCTTCTCCCTTGAGAATTAGCTCCCTTTTACTCTTGACTTATATGTCCTTCGATTTCAGTATTTCATTAAAGTTCAAAAGTATTTCAAGAGCTTGACAAACTTTAATTTAACTGAATTTAAACCTTTAACAACTATCAAAGATTTTATATTATAAAGAAAAAAAAGGGGCACACGATTATTGAAAAAAAAATAATTAATTAGAATTTTCATTTTAAAGAATTTTATTATAAATAATTATTTTTTATAATAATTATAATTTATAAGTAATAATTATATTTTCTAATAATTAATTAATTTTTCAATTTTCAAATTAGCATTTCACAGTAAAAAGAAAGGTATTAATTTAATACCAACTTCAGGTACGAAATTTTCATTTGGTTCTATTTTGATATCTAAAATCGGTACTGTTTTAGTACTTTCTTTTTATAGTGTTGACAGAATTTCTTTTTTATACGAATTTTTACTTAAAAAAATGTTTAGCTACCAAATTTGTGTTTGGAAGAATTTTTAATTTATATATGATTATTTAAGAGAATTTTAATTAAATCGAATGTTAATTCAACAGAATTCTCATTCAATCGAATTTTTAAATGACAGAAATTCGAATTTTAATTTATCCGAACTTATATATTTGTACAAATTTTTAATTAATAGAATTTTTAAGACGCCGAATTTTCATTTGTCCGAAATTACAAATGCCCGAACACAAAGGGAAATTCGTTGTTATAAAAATTCTATCAATTGAAAACTCGTACAAATAAAAGTTCGGACAAATTAAAATTCTTTTTAATAAAAAATCATGTGAAAGAAAATAACTGTAAAATAAAAATTCTGCCAAACAAAAATTCGGTAGATAAAAATTCGTGTAAAAATTAAATCTATCAAATTTTAATTTGAAAATTTGCCTAAAAAATAATTCCTATTTATAATATTTTACGATTGTTTATTATATGTTGATGTATATATCTTAAAAAAAAAAACTAGTGGAAAAGACAAAATTGTAAAACTTTGTAAAAAGTACACAATGGAGAAATAAAATCTATCTATCTATCTAATTCCTACTTATAATAAAATTTTTTAAAATAAAAATTCTAATTTAATAATTTTTTTATGGAAAATTCATGCGCCCAAAAATATAAAAAAATATTTTTAAATAAATTCAAATGTTTAAAAATTTTTTATTTATTTATATTTTTTCAGCAATTTTAATTAATTTTCAAAATATCGATAAACATACAATCTAAATCTGAATTAGTAAAAATGTTTACTAATTTAAATTAGTGACTCACTTTTTACTTTAGAATTAGTTAAATTTTACTAATTGTTAGGAAAAGTTACTAATAATTAGTAAAATTTTACTAATTGAGAAGCAAAAAGTGAGTCACTAATTCAAATTAGTAAACTTTTTTACTAATTAAGATTTAGAGAGTATTTTTTGTTTAGTTTTAAAATTTTAATTAAAAAAATAAAATATATATTTAATTAAAATAAAATATGTAAGCGGATTGTTAAAGATAGAACACATGGAAATAATAAAGTGTTCTTTAAAAATAATTGTGTCCCCCCTCTGTAAACTATATGCAAGTTGAAGATTATCCAAGATATATCTCTTTGCAGTGCGGTAACCGCACGGAACGGTAAATTAAACTGTGTAGCTTCTGTAAATAGGATATATATATATAGGGAGAATGTAGATGTAAAGATCAACTGGAGGGGAAAGAGTAATGGATTATTCGGTTCGATGGATCGTGGCATTTTGTGACATCCTGTCCGATTATGAAGCTTACACATTTTTTTTTCCTTCCTTTTTATTATATATTCGCACGCAATACGCACTCAGGTTTTTTTACCAGATAATTCTTGGACTTTTAAACTTATAAAAAAGTATAAGAACTTGTGAAATCCCCTTGTTTATTTTGATAATATTTCAACCTAAAACCTTGAGGTGTAAGTCTGGAATTTATTTCTCAAAGATTTTACGTTTCTTTTTAAATCTTTTGAAAAATTTTTCTTATTGCAGTCACGAAATATGTATCTGTCTCCTCGAGTGGTCAAAACATATTTTTTCCATAACAATAAAGTATATTTTAATTTGTTGTATAAAAGAATTTTTTTTTCTTTCTAAAAAAACAATATTTTTAGTATAGTTATGACAAATAAAATAATCAATCAATCATTTATCTGAAAAAAAATAATATTGAGTAATTTATAAATTAGAAAGGCTGAAGATAATGATCATCATTTTTGAAAAAATATTTTGAATGGATCATTTCTACGATGTGTGTATGTGTGTGTAAAAACTTGTTAATGTGAACTGTGTGTCCTGTCAAAGTGATTCTTTGTGTTGAACTTGACGTGCACGGGGCACACTCTCATAGATTAAATGTGATCTAAGTTTCAGACTCTCTTATATGCTAATTGGCAAAACCTTTTCAGAGACTCGTTTGTCGTGCCGTGGGGTCGTTTCAAAACTTACAAATCTCCGTGTCAGCGACACATCAACTGTCATCTAGGATTATAAAATCCGGTTTTTGATTCACTATATATAGCTCACATGACGGGTGTCGATGAGAGTAATAATGGACCATCGAAAAAAAAAATATAACCCTGGTCCAACATCTGTGAAATATGTCATATATACGCAAAATGGACACGTGATTTTAAATTATGAAATTTATACGAAAATTTTTCGCGTAAAAAAAAATGTATATATGCTTTTAAAAAAAAATATTTTTGCATTTTTAATGCAATTTTTCTCTTTTCTCATCGTTATTTTGCAATATGTGGTTCAATTCAGAAATGATGTGAACCCATTGTTATATATAAATTCATTGGTCATTGACTACCATATATATATATATATATATATATATATGACACAAGTGCCATTTGAAGTAGCGTTCAATGATTTCATACAAAAGCAATCATCATCGCATGTCAGTCATTGGATGGCGTTTCAATATCGATGGACATTTCAGATAATAACCCATTACGTATCTATACACACAACATTTATAGCGTATCTTGACAATGTTTAGATCTCTTTTGTTATTACACTGCATTTCACCCGTGTGTGTTGTCAAAACCGGTAGTTCACCATTGAAATGATGACGTCTCGCGACCGGAAACGATGACCGAGTTGGTCTTTTTTTTTTACTCCCTCCGTCTCATTATAAATACAGAGGCGAGCAAAAAAAAAAAAAAAATTGTACACCGGATGTATGTATTTTAATTTGAAAATTCATATATACGAGAATTTAATCCCTTTACAAATGGAGTTAATCTCTTTTGATATAATAACAAACAAATACGATATTAATGGTATTTGGTTAAAAAAAAAAAAAATTCAATGTGATTATTAAAATATTTTATTTTTTATATATGCAATAAATAAATATACAACGATGAATGACAATAAAATATGAAATGTTATTTCCAAAAATTAAAGAAAATCATAATCTTATAAAAATTATACTATTCTATAAAATATCGAAAAAAATTTCATTTGTTTTAAAAAAAGATCAATTTTGTACAAATTTTTGTTAAAAGTTAAATTAAACATTTATAAAGTAACGAATTACTTTTTTAAAATAGTTTTCCAAATAACATTGTTTTTATTTATTTTGAAGCTTTGTTAATTATAAAAAAAAAAAATAATCTACACTTTTTTTTTTTTTTTTTGATATATAACATTTGTTTCATTAAGTATTTTTCCTTAACTTATTCTGTTATTATAGAATATTTTATGGCATAATGAGGTTTCTGGTTACATTTTAAATATATGCAGTAGTTTTCATATACATACAGATCTAGTTTCATGCAATTAACATCGAATCATAAGTACACATAAAAATGAAAATTTATGGTATATAATAACGGTTTGTTAAGTAAATAATTATCTTGTTTCTGCATCAGTGGACAATCTTCACAAGTAATTTTCATACTAAATACATAGTTGAATTTCCGTTGAAACTGTATAAATTTTTGCCACTTATAGAGACTGATTTCTGTTTGGTAGTAAAAAAAAAAATTTTTTTAAACATGATTTTCCATAATAAAACTTTGAACGAAAGAACTGCACTTATTGTATATTTCAAAAAAAAATTCACACAGCCTTTAATGAAAATTTTTGCAATGTTAGAAAAATTCTTTTGAATTTCTTTTTCATTTTTTAAAAAATAGTTTAAATTTAATTAAATTTTAAAATTAATCTCAAATGGTAATGACATTTTTCTCGCCATGGAAAAAAATGTTTCTATACATATATATTTATTTCACATATCATATGAAGTCTCTTATTATGATTTCTAAAGATTTTTCATTTTGCTTTCATAATTCTATTCAGTTAATTGAGAGTTTTCATAAAATATGCTTATTGACAATTTATTAATTTAAAAAAAAATTCCCAGGCTTCTTTCTAATGCTGAACAGAAAAAAATAAAATCATACGTATATGTAGAATATTCTACAATAAGCGCAATTTATAGTTATTAAATATTTGTATAAAATTATTGTAAAAATAAATTGTAGAAAGTTTTATTATTTGTTTGTTTTTTTTTTTTTAATTAGTTGAAATTATTATTTCAATATTTATCCAGGATAAATTCGCGTATTTTTAAAGATTTTTAAAGAAAATTTGGAGAATATGGAACGTTTTAAAAATGAACGGGCGTTCAATTTGACAATTAAAGTTGAACCCCGCTCATTCCATGATTATCTTGCATTCAATTTTGTATTCAATTTCGAAATGAAATCCATTGCTAGACTGTCGCCTTTTCTATTCTCCAAAGCTCGTACAGCATCCGTATCTTTATGAAACAAATTTAAAACACATTATTTTTATTACTATTTTTTTAAATATTTTTTATTAAGTAATATCAAAGATTTTCTTTATTTTAAATAATGTTATTTTGAAATCAATGTATAAAAAAAAAAAAAAACTAGAGTAAGTAAAGAATTCTCGATTTGCAATTTGTAAAGTTTTCTTGTACCTTGTACCTATATTCTATGAAGTCGATAAAAGAAAGAAAAGGTAAACTCACTCTTCGTAATTGGTCGAGAAAGTTTCAAGTGGATTTGCTCCAGGGTTTCGATATGCTGGTCAGGCCCTGTTTCAGGAATTTCGCTGAAATTTAAAAATGCTTCAGCCATGAATTTTGTTCGTAGAAAATCCTTATCTTTCACCTCAAATACTAAAATTGCATCCTCTATGCCTTTTTGTTCCGTTGTCAAAGAACTAGAAAATAAAAATTAAAAATTTAATTATATTTAAAAATAGATATAATATTAAATAAATTTTCAAGGCAAAAAAAAAAAAAAAGTTAACTTACATATTAAAATGTTCATCAAACAGAGGGAAGAGTGTTTCTTTATGAATACGAGTTTTTGGCATTTTAGCTTCCGCAAATTTTTCTTCTGGCAGTAATCGAAGTTTCACATAAGGATCACATTTTCCTGTAAAATAGAAAACATGACACATTATTTTTTTTTATGTAAAATAATTTTTTTTTTTTTTTTTAACAATGTCCTACAGTGAAAAATGCTGCATGCACTAATGTTCTGCGCTAGAAAGAGATTTCTATTATTAATAAAGAAACACCTTTTTTTAATCACAACAAAAGATGACAATTTTTCTCTTAACCCTTTTTTTGATTTTTAAATTTTCAAATAGAAAATATATTTTTCTTCCATTATTGTAAAGCTTCCTCTTGAGGAAGCAAAATAATTTTTTTTTTATTGGCAGATTAATAATCGAGAAAAAAAATGTATGTTTAATAAATAATGATTTTTAAGTATAATTTTAAATGATTATATTTAGCAAATATTTAATAAAGATATTGAAAAATATATTTATTATTAAATATTTATTTAATATACTAATTTTATTAATAATTGTCGGAATATCGGGGAAAAATATGGAAGATTGAAAATCGATGAAAACCCATTTCCTTCCAGACTGATGTAAAATGGAAAATGTTCATGTCTCGTGCAAGTTTCCAAGAAAAATGAGAGAAAATTATATTTATATATTAATAACTGAAAATGAGGAAAATGTTTTCTAATTTTTTTTATTTCAGTCTTCATTCAAAAATCTATATAGTTCGAACAGGCAACTATGGATTGACGAGGGCGAGTGGTAGTCTGATCTGTTTTTTTTTTTTTTTTCTTTTTTTTACATACTTGTCTTCCCCTCTGTCAGTCTTTGTTTAGATTTTGAGTGCAGTTTGCGTTCAAGAGTGGACAGCTTTCCTATAAAATCGCCTATAAAAATTGAAAAGAAATGTCATTTCAAGGACGTGTTCCGCTTTTGCAATTAACCTGACAGAGATTTTTTTTTTTTTTTTGTTCTTAAACCCATAATATTAATAATATTCTCACAATTCTTATTTTTCTCTTCCTCTTGGTAAAAAAAAAAAAATTGAATCATTTTAAGATAAAAATTGGGAACGAAATATATTGATTCTTAACGAAGGAAGAATAGAGGGATAATAAATTAGAAAGTGAAAGTTATAAATGAAAAAAAAAAAAACGTCTTTTTATCTACCATTGCTGTCCATTGGTCTGAGATTTCGCGCATTGAGAATCTGAATGTTCAACGAGTTGTCGATAAACTGTGCCCTGACAGTAAGGAGACCGTATACAGGGTCCTCAAGTTCCTTCTGCTCTCGAATCCTTTCGAGATTATATCGATGAATCAACTCGGCAGTTTCGAGCCCATGGAGCTTTAAGAGGCTCTCAATCTTCTCCAATACTTGAACATTCGCAGCCTCGTCCGCTCCGAGGTTGAAGAACCGGATGAGGGTGTGAAGAGTACGGTGCAGATTCGAATAGAAGGACGGTGGTCTCCTTTTCTGCATAAAAGACAATGAGGGTTCTTCAGAACATAATATACAAAGCGTATAAAACCCATATACTGTCACATAATCTTAATTCTTCATAAAAAAAAAAAAAAAAACAACCCACCTCCAAATTACTGTTGACCAAATCCCATAATGTTTCAGAAATAATTTCCCAAATAACAATTAATACAGTGGTGAAATTATCTTGATTGAGATTTTCATGAAGCGTTGTTAAATTTGAATCCAAATAATGTAGTAATCGATCCATTGCATTGCTTGTTGTGTCTATCAATTCAGCACCTTCCATTAGATATCTGTATGTGGAAAATTTAGTTGAAAGATTATCGCAAGTTATATTAATAACATTATTGAATATAGTTTGTTCGATAAATACCTGTTAATAGCAGGTGTCATGTTATTAGCAACCATCTTGAGTAAATCAATAATTTTGTCTTTAACACTGTCTGTTGCGTTGTCAATAATAAGCTGCAAAGTTTGCCTACAACGTTCAGCTTCCTGTTCGGGCTTGTTTTCCAAGAGGGCATCAACAATACCTTGCATTCCCAAGTCATTAGCCAAAGGGGCAATAGATGTTCTGATATAGTCAATATTATTAATGGCAAAACACCAGGCATTTGAGACCTCAAATTTCCTCTCATAAACACTATTATTCGATATATTGTCTTGTTCTATTTGTGTAACTTGTTCCGCTTTATTTGCCATTTTATCGGCGTATGCTATCGAACATTTGCAAATATCCTGAAAAATTAAAAATAAAATTAAATATACTTTAAAATTAAATAAAAAATTTTAAAAAAAAAACCTACGTCAATAATTTTGGCAATAAATGTATAAGATCCTTCAATATCCGGCCATGCTAATTGTGTCCAAAAGACTTTGATTTGATAAAAGATTGTCAATGTGTCTACAGCACTGGAACTATATTGAACAGTGCTGTCGACTGGTTGTAAAGTGTCAAAATCTACTGCTCTGTCAATTCGCTTTAAAGCCTTGTAAACAGCAATGTCCAACCAGTGGGCGACTCCAGCCCTAAACCAGTCGTAGTAATTTTGAATTTTCATCTCCTCCAGTCCTTCTGCACACAAAACGTGTCCAAGCCTATATATATATAAGAGAAATAGAAAATAATATATATACACACAATAAATACTGCATTCAATTTCCATATTTTGTTTACATAGAAAAAAAATTTATCCTGATTAATTTTAAGCAAAATTTTGCTTTCAATTTTTGAAAAAATTTATTTAATCCATTTTTTATTACTTACGCTGCATATCTTTGAAGAGCTAAATAAAGTTCAAATAAAGTTGTACCAAGTCCCAATTCAGCATCTTCGCTACTTTCAATTTGTATTCTTTTTAATCTTGCACAAATATCTTCAACAATAATCATACACATATCACTGATTCTTTTTTCATACATAACGTAAAGTGTCCTTGCATACGGAAAGTTGATTCTCCTGTAAAAGAAATATTTTTTTATTATATAAGAATTATAATTTATACCATATTTATTTATTCTGTAGATTATAAAACGTCATATGAAAATGCAACATACTTGATAAAAATTTTATCATGCATTTCGATAGCTCGTTGTAAATCAGCTCTTATCAATTGAATAACTTTAATATGAAATTGTAAAGCTTCTTCATCTGAATGACCCTCTAATGTATTATTTCCCTCTATATATTCGAACCTGAAATTATTTTTCAAAAATAAATTGATAAAATAATTATATAGTTGACGTAAATATTTCTTCGTTATTTTTTTATATTCACCATTCAGCTCCTCCTTGAATCACAGTATATTCCAAAGCTTGAAGAATATTAATTTGTGTTCCATCTGGTTCTGGAAACCAACTATACATTTTTGCTGGAAAAAGATCCACGTTCTCAGGAATATTTAGCGTTGATATTGACGATAATATTCTAAAAAAAAAGTTTAAATAACCAAACAAATTATATAATTTTTGAAAAATAAAATTTTTAAATATTCATAAAATTTATAATACAAACCCTAAAATAGCAGAGAGTTGATGAAAAACATTATTTCCTTCAGCGGGGAATTTTCTAATTTTTCTAATACAATTTAAACATGAATAAATTAATTTTCTCGTCGCTTCCCAAAATAGTTTTGTCTCATCAGATGAAAATAAATTATTTTCCAATGGTCTCAATAATTCGAGAATAATTTTATTAAATAATGTAAAACTAAGTGGATGTTCTTGATGAACACGTGAAAATTCAACCCATTCGGCAAGTGAAACATTTCTCGTTAAAAGTCCTCTTTGTGCAATATGCTGTAAAATTAATGCCTCTGCTGGTGGTGACCATTTACTGGACCAACAATATTTTTCCATTTTTTGTGTATCCAATTCGTGCATCAATAATATTCTCAATAAATGCCTGTGTTCTTGACATGACACCTGAGTATCATGTTCAGCGCTAAAAGCCAATTTTAATCTGACAACACCTCTTCGTTTTGACTTGTTCTTTTTTTCCAATGGATACCAAATACAACTTCCTGACACTGGAATGTCCTGAAAAATATTTTTGTTTTAACATCTATTTTTAAATTAAATTTTTTTTTTTGGTTTTTATTCTTTTAGAGAAAATTTTAACAATGAGATAATTATAATTTTTTTCTACGCACATGAGAATAATATTATGTATTGATTTTATATAGATTCGAATTAATGGAAAATTATTTTTTATTACCTTTAGAGGTATTCGAGTGCGTCCAATGAATTCATTATCGTGATTGCCAGTTGTTGCTGTGACAGCAATTTCTTTTGCAAGTTTCATTAGTCCACGTACACCCTTTACATCTTTGACTTTATTCATTTTTTCCGGTACCGTTTCCGCAGCGTCAAAATCCCTTTTAATTTAAAATTTTGTGAAAATTATTTAAAGAAATAGTCTTTTTTTTTAAGGTACTATTTAAATATTTACCATACTTCCAGAGCCAAAACATCATTTATTGAATCGCTCACAGGTCTGTGAATTGAAAATAAAATTGCAATTATTTATTAACTATGAAAAAATATCTATTGGAAAATTAATAAAAAAAAAAAATACAAATCTCCAGAAGTATATAATTATCAGGAAATATGTTTTTTTCAAATAAGATTTTTTGTAATATTTTTTTTTCTGACTTACAATTCAAAATGCTCTTCCCATGTTGGGGTGAGTGTTTCTGTCTTAACGGCAGTGTTGTATCTGCGAGTTGGAGCCGACTCGAGATAAAGTGCACAAAAAGGGTCACTTAAGCCATTTGCATCCTTGGAAACGAGTTCCTTTGCCTCTATCACTTCCACGTTGAGATGCAGTTCCGGAGCCTAAAAGAGACATACATTTTTTTTTAAAAAAAAAAGAAAAAAAAATTTGTATAATATACAAACAAAAGTAATTTGCAAATTCTTGTATTTACTGAAAAAGCTTTTTTAATTTTCAAAACAAAATTAAAAATTGTATTATCCGTTTTTTTTTAAATGCAAACTTCAATAACTTTGAGCGCAGTCTAGGTATCCTTGAAAACTATCAACAAAAGTTTCAAAAAAGAACTTGTGCAAAGTTTCTTTTTAAAGTGTTTCCACTTGCTCTCTAAGTTTCTTTATAAGAACAATAATTTTTCAACTCTTTTTTTTCTTGCCAGTAACAAGAGAAAAATTTTTTTTGATTGAGATCTCTGTTAAGTGGATAATAAAAAAGGAATTTATTTACAAACCTCCATATTTCGGGTTTCTTCCAATACTCGTTCATGTACTTCGTTATCAACTTTAAATGCCTGTTGTAAATGACAAAGCATTGCTTCTTTACCGCACTCATCGGACTCATCGTAGCCAATTTGATGCTGTATCATAAATACCACTGCAGAATAGAGTTCTTCAATCTAAAATCAAAATATTTCATCTATATTAATAATAATAATAATGAATTATTTAATAACAATAAATTATTATTGCAATAAATTATTATTATTTAATAGGAATTAATTATTGACAGCTTCAAGTTATAAATTAGAATATTTTTTTGAACCCTGAAAAATTATGATTAAAATCGCACAAAGAAGAAATAATTATATTTTATAATCTTTTCTAAAATATTTGTGTTATTCTATTTAAAAAAAAAAAGAAACTACTTTATTTACTATTAATGTAATTCAGAGAATAAATTTTAAATAAGACTCACGTTGACACTGTCAATGTATGTCAATTAAATAAGTGACGATATTAATTTTCTTTAATAGATGTCTTTTTTTTGTAATAATAGTAAGTTCGCAGTTTTTAAAAGAATAAACGACATTAAAAATAATCCTATTTTTATAATTATTATAATTATCTATAATTTAATTTTTTAAATTTGTTTAATTGCATTAAAATTTTCAAAGTACTTATAAATTATATCAAATTGAGAATTTTAAATTTCCATTATTTCAAGATTTTTTATTTTTTCAACAATTATTATTGAACCATATCAAAGGGTCATATTATCTCATCTCATAATAATCTAGTTTTTATTTTTATATATACAATATCAATTCGAGTATTTCACGTTATATACGATGTTTTCAGAAACTAGTAGTTGTCTGTGATTCTTGGCCAATCATCTTTTCTATGTCAAGTGCGTTTCCCAATTACAAACTATTTTTGGGTTTACGAATCGCACACAAAGTTATTAATAACATTTGAAAATTTATTATACGAATTAAAATAAACTTTTTGATATTTTAATAAAAAAAAAAGTACAAAAATTGTCTAAAAATCGTGATTTTAATTCCTAAAATAAAAATTACTTTCCTTAAAATTCCTTCTTTATAATTATTTTTTTTTTTTTTTTTTTTGCCATTCAGTGAAACTCACCGTCATTGCTTGCAAAAGAGCATGTGTTCTTCTTTCAAGTTCTGCCTTAGGAATTCCCCGGAAAGTATTCATTTTTTTATTACAATTATTAAGGATATCAACCCCAGTGAGAGTACTTGGCTTAACCATTTTCACTGATTTAGAAACCATTTATAACTCAAAAATCACGAAAACAAAGTGTCACGACAAAAAAAAAGTCAATGATAAATGTTTATAGAAAGTTTTTACACTTTATATTCATTATTATATATTTCTTTTTTCACATTTAAATCACTATTGCATTTGTATCACCAAAAAAAAAACTGCCAACAAATTCAAAATCTTTTAATTACTGTTCAATTTATTTTATATATATATTTTTTTTTCAATTGCACTGTAAATTTTGCTTTGCATAACAAAATTGATATCATTTTAATTAATATCTATTAATATCGTTTTTAATCATTTTATCAGTATTATTTACCATTAGCGTCCATTTATTTTTAATTATTAGCAATATTCCATAATAAAATGTGAGAAAATTATAATTTCAATCTGAAATATGTATATACACATGAATAGTCTTTTGATTTAATGAAAGGGCGCTTTTTAATAATCAATGTTTGTGATTGTTGTATTTTTAACATCTTTAATAATTTTTAATTGCGTGAGTAAACTAGTTCTTCACTTTTTCAAACATTTTCAATGTTTTCAATTTCAGGCGTGTATTAACATTATCCAAAAACCCTTGTATTAAAAATAAATTAAACTATAATATTGTAATCACAATATTTTTTTTTTCACAATTTAACACAATCAAAAACATAATTTTTTTATATAATTTAGAAAAACAATATTTATCATGAAAAGAGCAATTATTGGTCTTTTAGTAAAAGAACAAAGGCCCCTTCTCGGCCACTTTTAGGACGGGAGTGATAACAATGAACTTGGGGGCAACTGATCACGACCTCAATCACAAATACAATGCTTTCGGCATATTCAATATCGTACGTATTTCAAAGACGATACGATTGGAAAAAGACAATCAAATACTGATATAAAAGAGACATTGGAAAAAAAAAATTTTCTTTTTTGTTTTATAGTGATTTGTCAATAGGGGTTTTTTTTTAACTTTTTATTTTATTCAATTGGCAGAGGCCTATATATACGTAATTTCACTTTGCACTTAACAACTTCCGAATACTTAACACATCAATCAATGTAGACTTTGAGAATGCGAATAGCTCATTTAAAAATAGAATTAGTTGTTCGTAACTTGAAAAAGAAAAATTCAACTGGACTATGGGCCCGATCTTTCAAAGGTCAAAAATAAATTTATCTTATCCTAAGATTTATTTAGTGATGACTATTCAGAAAAACCTTTTCCCGAAACGAAATTCCTTAGAATTTTATTATTTTTTAAAAACCAAATGTATTATTTAAAAAAAAATTAATTATTAAAAAATCAAAAATTACAAAAACGAAATTTAAAAAAAAAATTTAATTTTTTAATTTTTAAATGTAAATTTTAAAATGTGTTAGATAACCATTTTAAAATATTTATCAATATATTTTTCTAATTTTTATTTTTCATCTTACAAATATTATTGATTGCATAATCAAGATATTTTTATTTAATAATCTGTAAAGCCCCTTATTGATAAAATTACATCATACAAATTATTGCTAAAATAGTCAAAAATAGCTTTTAATTTCTAAATTGTTTTATAATAAAAGGATAGTTTCTTTCCTGTATAAACAATTCTATTTTACTTCATTTTTATATATAACAACAGGGTGAAAAAAATATTCTTTTTTCGACTTAACATTATTATTGTCAACAATTTAATAAATTGACAATAATTTTTTTTTTCCTATTTGTAATATTCATCAAAAGTCAACAATATTGGACCCTGATCTATATATTATTTTGATCCTTGTACTAAATTCTTTTCTTGAGAGAGAATGTCATTTTTATTTTTTTTGTTCTCAATATAATCCTACTTTTTTGCAGCTCATGAAATTTATAATTAATTTCTTTTAAAATTTTAATGAATTAAAATTAAAAAAAAAAATCAAATAATTTGATTTGATAATTAAATTAAAAAATAAAATAATTAAATTAATTAACAAATCAAATTATTATTTCAATAATCCGAATTTTTCCAGCTAATTAAATAAAATTAATTTCTTTTCAAATTTTAATGAATTAAATTAAAGAAATTAAATTATTTCTTGCTGAACTCGAAAAAATGGATTTGAATTTTTTGAGTATTTATTTTTATCGTGTGAAAAAAAAAGAATTTTTGCGTAATGAAGATATTTTAAGATAAATGTATACATATATATGAAATGTACAAAAGTATATATATGGAACATCTGGGCCGTATCCCGTTTAAACTGACCCACGAATCAAGTGCAAACGGTAGGCGTACGTACAACGTTAGAACAATTGCGTTCAATGAAAGTTGATATGATGACAATTAGCTCATTGACCAACAAGTAGTAAAAAGCATGTGATACATTCCAAGCATGTCTCACCAATTTCAGTTGTTTTTTTTTAAACTTCTTCCTTTATCTTATTTTTTCATTTCGCATCTTTCTAATCAAGACTCGATTACAATACAATTTTCTTTATGTGGAAATTCGAAGTCACTTTTTTTATTTTAAATAATATTTATTATTTTCTTTTATTTATCTAATTTTTTATTTTTGCTTAATTTCATTATTTTTATTAAATTATTTAATTAATTTTTTTAAAATCAGTAATATTTATTGATTCTTTTTGTAATTATATATATTTTAATTCACACTCTATTTTGAATATATATAGAATTTTTCTATTGCGTGTGTCAATTTGAGAGATAATTAATTGTTTATTTGTGATTCATTTAGTTTCTTCCAATTGAATATAATATCTTTCATCTCATAATATGTTTCATTTTTAAACCCAGTACTGTCAAGTTGCCAAAAAAATTTTTTTTTTTGTATGAGATAAGAAATAAGCTTTCTTGTATCTGAAGAAACAAGATTGGTAACCCACTTTTTCCACTTGATTTATTTTTATGTCCTACACACAAAGTTCTAAATCCAGTTTTAATGACTTTCCAATGATTTACAACTAAATTTGGAAATAACCCCGCAAAATGTTTGGCAAACATTTCAATGCTCTGTGGCAAATGTGTCAATGTTAATACAACTTGTGGATCTGATCAATATTTTTTTTTTTTTCCTTCGTTTTTATTATTATTTTTCAATTTTTATTTTCATTATACTTTTTTCCCAAATACTAAATATTTTTATTTATTATTTTCTAGTTTTTAATATTTTGAATAAAAATTTGGATTTTTTTTTTTTTTGGTGCTACTAAAATGCAATTAGGTGATTAATTATTTTATAAAAATAAAATCGAGAGTACAAAGAAGATGTGTCACTATTAAAGGATATTGCGCGAAAATGTTTACCACGCACCAATATTGGGAATTGTTTCATTGCGGACAGAAATTAACTGACGTCAATGATCGATGAAAGAAAAAAAAAAAGTAAACTTAGAATTGGAAACAATCAATATAAGAATCACGAGAGAGAGAGACCAAGACATCTGCGTAACGACGTCAAGTTCTGCACTGCCAGGAATAGATGGACCATCCAACGAAGACTATGTCGAGGAATCCTCGTGGTAGCGTTTTATCTACGTCATTTATGAATTTGTACCAATGCAAAACGCATATATGTGTGTTATCACAAGAAGATGGTACGCGTGCACTAGCGCATCTAATCTACGTCTAGCGATTCGTTACTATTATTTAATATCATATAATTATTTATATATAGCACTTATTCATTAAAATACCACGCTGAAAGAAAAAAATTTATTTGATTTAAATAATCATTTATTTGATTAACAAATATTTACTTAAAATAATTTAATTTAAAAAAAAAAATAAAAAAAATATTTAATACAAATGAATATTTATTTGATAATAATCAAGTAAACGATTATTTGAATCAAACAAATTTTTTTTGTTAATAAAATCCCATATATGGAATTTTAATTCCTATAGATATTAAAACAAATTATTAGAAAATTTATTATTAATTATTATTACGAATAAATAGAAATAAAAACGATAATCCCCAGTAGTAGAAAAAAAAGTAACTTTTACTATTTCTAAAGTAAATTCTAAACTTTTCGGAATTTTGGTCAATTTTTACTCTATAATAATTTATTTTTTACTATTTTCAGAGTAAACTTGGAGTAATTTTTTACTATTTCCGGATCAAAAATTGCCAGAGATGTGCAGAAATTTCGGAACTCACTTTGTAAGTAGTAAAATATATTTTTTTCATTAGAAATTAAAAAAAAAAAATATTAAAAAGGTGCTCGCAGAAAAGTATAAAAAAAAACGTTACAAAACGTAAAATTTTATAATTAAACTTGAATTAAAATTTTTTTTCCGCATACATTCTCACGAGATATATACTCACAAGTTTAATTTTTCTTCGTACATGAATAACTTTATGTATTTTACGCGTTCGATTTTTTGCCTGTCCTCGAATAATACTAAAGCCCCTAACTGAAGAAGAATTCAGTACAGGTATAATTACAACCGATGCCATGGCTCGACAATGTGAGCCAACAAACGACTGTTCAGGCCCTTTCGTGCGGCACTTTGCTAACCTTAGAAAAATCAATACAAGTCAACGATCAATAGTTATTATTCCTTTTGTTCATTTTGTTTTTAACTATAAAAACTTGTAATGGAATTTCTGATACTTTCATTAAAAAAAAAAAAAGTTAACTCAGAATTGTTGAAAAAAATTTTTTTTACATTTAGAATTTTTTTTTTAATTTGGAATTATTGTTGGGAAACAAGAAAAAATTATAATTAATAATTATTTTTTTTTTCCTGATTGAAAAGATAAAATTTTCATGATGAGAAAAAATTTGTCTTTTAAAAATGTTGAAAAATCATCAATATATATAAGTTTCAATCATTCTTTATCCCATCCTCTCAATTCCACTGCTCTTGATGAAATGATCTGTCAATTACACATGTAAAATTGCTTTAATGACCTTGAAACTTTGAGAAGTTCAAGATCATGCATACACTTGAATATTCTTTTGATAACACATCATTAGGTTCTCATATATAATGATAAATTGCATTCTTAATCATTTTTCAACTCATATATAATAATAATAATAATACACCTACTGAGCAAGTGATATAATATATATATATATTTGCATAACTGAAAAAAAAATTTATTTCATTCAAATAATCGCGGTTACTTTACTATTATCAAATAAATATTTAGCAAATAATTTTTCAAACCAAATAATTGAATAAAAACTATTTTTGGATCAATTATTTTTGTATTTGAATTTTTTTTTTCGTATAAAAATAAATATTTGAATAAAATAATAATTAATTTATTTATTTAAATTTAATAAAATATTTATTTGCCTAATAGCCAAGTAAAAAATTATAAGAAATAAAATTTTTTTCAGTGATATTATTTTACGAATCGGATATATTTTCGATATCAATATAAAATAAAAATAAAAAATATATACAAGAAAATCGAATATACACTTGAAAAGCAAGAATATTGGTTGCCTTTGAAAACTTTCCGATAAGTAGCAAGAAATTAAATTCTCACGGAAGCATTCAAACTCCGTCTGCATCGAATTAGAATTATTCAACTCGATTTACTCGCAAAAATGAATTCAAAGTAATTTCTAATTGAAATTAAAACTTAACAGATCACCCCTTGTCTTTTTTATATTCTCTTTCGATATTTTACGGTTTTTTTTTTTAATTTTAATTTTTGTTATACAATCAAATTATTTTTTTTTACAGTCAATGAATCAAATATTCCTGTTATCAATATATATATGCGAGTAAAAATGAGAAAAACAAAAAATTTTCAAATATTTTTACAGAGCAAATATTATAACAAATAATATTTTTATATCCGTTTATTAGTATTTACCAATTGTTTTATTTACTTACGTTCCATCCAATGGATTGAATCATGAAATTTTGAACAATTTCCGCTTCATCTCTATCGCTGTCACTTTCCAATAAAGCTTCTGTTACTTCCAGAATGCTATCCGTGTCACTGAGTGCTTCCTCTTTTTCATCATTATTACTATTTTCAGCAAGATCCTTCTTTTCTGGAATTGGTCCCTCCTCAAGTTGTTGAGCACGGACTTTTTCTGCAAGTAGTGTACCTAAATTTTCAAAAAAACCACCATCCACTTCCTGTAATCTGTAACAGAGAAATTTTTCGAAATTACTTCAATATTTATTATTAAAGAAATTATTAAAATTATTATTATTATTATTATTATATTTATTTGTTTATTTCAAGTATGTATTTTCCCTAGTCTTTTTAGACCATTGGGATACAAAAATAAAAATAAAATATACAAAAATTAGACAAAATAACAATAATTATAATTAATAATTATTAAACATTTGAAAAACTACTTAAAAAAATTTGTATTAATTTCAAACGAAATAGATAAACATAAACTGAAAAAAATTTATTTGTTTCAAATAATCGATAAATTATTGGGCATTTCTATGAGAACAATTGAATTTTTTCATCCGTGAGTCACGATGATTAAAACAGCTATATCTTTTTTTAGTTTTCTTATAAAATCAAAAAAAAAAAAAAAATCCGTTGGACACGTTTCTATTTTCTTATCTTTCTCATGGAAAAGAAAAATTTTTATTTTATAATAATTTAAAAAAAAAAAAGTTACAGATAAATTTAGTCATTGTGACGCACTGACAAAATGTCCTCGCACTGAAAGAAAAAATATATAAGAAATTTTCATGAGTAGAAATTTTAATAAATATATGTTACATTTTAGGGAAAACGTGTAAAAAATAAAGAAAAATTGATATAAGAAATAATAAATTTCTAAAAAAGAATTATTAAAATCACTAAAAATGAAGTTGACTATTGACAAAATTGAAGTTTGTAAATATTTACTAAAATTTGAAATACATTATTAAAAATTGAAATATATTTTCAAAAGTCTAATACACAATTTTTCTGAAGATCTCAAATTGAGACCATAAAGTGTATTAAATTGTTGATAATTGATGATGTTTATGGTCTCAATTTGAGTGCCTCAGAAAACTGTGTATTTTTTATATCAATATTTCACATTTTGTCACGTTTTCCTTAAATTGCAAAATATTTACTAAAATTTCTACTAAACGTATTAAATTATTTTAAAAATTTATTATTAAAATTAATTAAAATTAACTCTTATTAAAATTAATTAAATATTTTCTTTCCGTGCGCTTTTTCATGAAAATGCCCTTATTTTCAAATAAATATTTGCTTGAATCAAATAAACTGTATTTGAATCAATGATTTCTATATTTCATTGTTAATTTAAAATAAGTATCAAATTGATACCATAATTATCAAATTGATATATAAAAATTTGAATCAATTTGATATTTTTAGTATTAATTTAATACTTTCATGGTAATTGTGTTAATAAATACCATTTTATTGATACCTACAATTAATAATTACACTAAAAAAAAAATTTATTTGATTCAAATACTTGATTACTTAAATATTATTAAATAAATATTTACTTGAACCAATAATTTCTGTATTTTAAAAAAAAATACATATAATAATTATTTGATACAAAATAAATATTTATTTCATAATAGTCAAGTAACCGACTATTTGAATCAAATTAATTTTTTTTCAGTATATTTAATACAAATAAATATTTATTTGATAATAGTCAAGTAACTGCGACTATTGGAATCAAATAAATTTTTTTTTCAGCGTATGCGATTTATTTGAAACAACGTGCAAAGCGCAACAAGACAATTACAATTAAAAAAGAATATATTCTTGGAATTTACGAATTAAAGACAAAACTTGTTTTAAAATGAGCATTTTTTTAAAAAAAAAAAAGTTATATAATTTTTGAACCATACGACAATTTTACAAAATGATGACAAAAATTAAAATAATTTACAATAAAAATTATTTATAAAATTTATAATAATAAATTTCTTTTAACATACATTTTTTTCAATGCAAATTTTATAGAATTACATTAAAATTCTAGAAAATTTCAATATAAAATATTCATTACATGCGAAAAAATATTTTTGTTAAATTAACATTTTTGTTGAATTAACATTTGTTTTCAATAACATTTTTTACCTTAAATAACAAATTTTATCATTTTCAAAATATTATATAATTTTCAGCCAGACACTCACAAATTTTCCAACACCCAACAAAAAAAAAAAAAAAAAAAATTTTTGCACTTTTTTTCACATCACCTGCTTTTGTTATGAATAAAATGAAAAGCGGCAAGTTTCCAATATAACTTTGCTGTTGTAAATTTGACATCTTCTGGTTTCTCTGTCATACGAATTGCCGCTAATGCCAAGTAAGGATGTTTCTCATCTAAATTTGGAAAATGAGCCATTTTTCTTCTGTTTTGCTTTTTACTGGAATTCCAAAGGGTTTTCCATGAAAATATGAGAGGCATATTTGAATTTTTTTTTTTCTTGCAAAAATTACATGTAAAAGTGTGTATGTATGTGAAAAGCACTTTTAAATATCTCTCGATATTCAACTATAATACTGATCTTAAAAGAAGTTGGAAGCTCAATGAGAAAGAGAAACTATAAAAACGTTGTTTTACATTTAAAAATTCCATTCCCCTTCTTTTCTTTTTTAGTATAAAAGTATCTCGAATAAATGAATCACTTGTATTTTATGTTCAGCTTATAAAAACCTTTTTCAATATCAATTTAATGTTTCATTTTATGAAAAAGGCCTTATAAAATTTGTATTGCTTCTTATTTAACAAAAAAAATATATATACTTTCAATTACAAAAAAAAAGTTAATGTATTTTTTTTTTATGTATGAAGTCCATTGATTTTTATAATTATATAATTTGAATTGAATCCAATACTGAATTAATTTTTCGGTTATAAAATTAAAACAATATAATTACACCTGTTCATTTTCAAAATATAGGATTTTTTTTTCACAATATCACGAAACAAATTATTCTCGAGGACTGAACAACCTCTTGTTAGTTTACGTTGCAGGACTACCTTCAAGATTACATGTGTTAATTGATATGTACTAAGTGGGAGAATAATATAAGCGGAAAAAGATGTTTTGAAATAAACTAGCATATTTATATTTATAATTATATTAACCTTCTAAATTTTTACACATGTGATCAAATGTCACAGTTGTTAAATATTTAGGGGTTTTTTTTTCAAAAAATCTTTTATTTAAAATAAAATCTATAAAAAAAAAAAAACAATAATGAACCTGTTTTCTAAATATAAATAAAATCTATAGAGAAAACAAAATAATTAAAAATATATATAAAAAAAAGCGGTTTTTGTTTCTTTTATTTAATATTGAAATTTGCAGGTTTTTATAGCCCCTGTATATTGATTACCCGCCGTGACGCTTTTTAAGTCGTGAAAACATTCTACAGGAATACTTATTTTTATTGTTTTATTTATGTGCCCATTATAATAAAATTATAAAATTATATTTATGCCTACAATTAAAAAAAATTATTTTTTTTCAAACATGTTTATCGTGTTTAATATTATAATATTAACTATTTTTTCGTTATATAAACATATATATAAATCCATCACAAAGTTTCTGATTTGAAGTTAATTTTCTTATCTTGTCTTGGCACATTAAATTCTAAGAAAGATGATTACTGAGTGCATAAATTTTTCATAATTCAATAAATCGAAGAGAGACATACTTTCAACAAGAGCTCTTTATTAATTTTACTTATTATTATAGGTATATGATTCTTATCTGCATGTGTAAAAAATTAATTTATTCTTCAATAATTAAAAGTGTACATTGAAAAAAAATTTTGATTCAAATAATCGATTACCTGGGTATTTATTTATTTATTGAAAAGTATTATAAAATAAATAATTATTTTGATCAAATTTTTATTTGTATCAAATAAACTGTATTATCAAAATAATCATTTCTGTATTTCAAATAATAATTTCTGTAGTTCAAATAATACACTGAAAAAAAATTATTTGATTCAAATAATCGGTTACTTGAATATTATATTATCAAATAAATATTTATTTGTATTAAATAATTATTATTTGAGATGGTATTTGTTTCAAATGCAGAAATTATTGGTTCAAATATAATTTATTTAATTCAAATAAAAATTATTTTGATCAAGTAAAATATTTATTTGATAATAGTTTAAGTAATCAATTATTTGAATCAAATAAATTTTTTTTTTCGTGTTATGATTCGTAATTTTTTTAATATATTCTAAAGAATGACCTCTTACCTTATTACATAACTAAATACACTTTCTTTATATTATATAAAAAAATTTAATATCAGAAAGTTTTTCCAAGATTCAATTTTTTTTTACACTTTTGATAATTTTATTGTTTCATATTTTTTATAATAAAATTACCACCTTGAAATTTGCATTATAAATTTGCATGTTATTTAAAATCTCTTTACACGTCGAATTCTGAGCGTTAAATATTTGACCACTTGAAAATTTACCAGTTAAAAGTAAATCGTAGAAACTTGTACATTTATAAAAGTTAAACACACTAAAGACTAGTCAATTAAAAATCCACATTTTATACTTCACACAATTGAGGAATGAAATTTACTGATAGTGTGTGGCAAAATTGTTTTATTTTGCGCACTTCTTTTTTTCACGATAAGGCCCAGTTTCACCAGTGATTAAATCCCTAACCGACCAATCGTGAACGGTTAAATTGGCCTTTAATCACTGATTAACTTTTAATCCAGAATTGGTAAAAGTTAAAATCCTCTAAACCTTAAAATTATATTTTAATTTATTTTATATATTTAATAAATAAATTTAATAACTATATTACAATAAAAAGTAATTGAGAATAAATGGAAACAAAAAGCGTTATAATTAGAGCAACAAACGTTTGTAATTAAAATTCATATAATTGTTTTCTAAATTCTAATCAAGTTTTTTTTTTATCTTTCAATTTATCCTTTTCCTTTATTTCAATAATTATTTTTATATCGTGTTAACGGGAAATCCGCTTGGTCAGGATATTTTCCGTGAGAAGCTTATACATATATATTGAATATTTCGTAACAAACATATAATTATTAGTGGAGCAATTAATTAAACGAATACATTATTAAAAAAAAATTTTTTTTTTTAAATTTAAAAAATAATTTTAAAAATCAATAATGGCTTTGTATATAAATTTCGGAGTTACATACATATAAAGTAAATATAATTTTTTTTTTTTATAAAAGATAAATTAGATAAACTTTAAAAAATAAAAAAATATAGCCGAAAATTTTTGAATTCAATGCCATTTTTTGATTTTGAACAATTTATTGTTGTAACTACTAAAGGAATGCATTCTAAGCGGAAATGATCATAAAAAAGTTCTTGGTATAGGAAGAACAGACAGTAGAATGGACATCAAAGTTCTTAAGGCTATGAATCATAAAATTGCGTCTGACCTTCACAAACTGTACATATAAGAAAATCTAATCACACATACAATATAATCGTTAATCATATATTCGAAAATGCAAATAAATATATTTTATTTGTATATCAATTTATTGTATTTGTATATAAATTTATTCTACTTCAATAAAAATATTATTGAAAATTAATTTAAAACATTATTTTACATTTTATATTATTATCCCAAAAAAAAAAAAATGTAAATTAATAACATCTGCAAAATTGGAATTTTAAATAGATTATTTATTATTTACTTTGTGTTTACTGTAATCAAACGTATTAATTTATTAACCATGTATACTTAAAAAGATAACAAAGAAAATAAAATAATTTATTTATTTCTTAACTCAATATATTATGTTTCAATCACACCAGCATTCAATTACTTGCAAAGATTCTAGATAATTAGTAATATACATAAATGAAGAAAGTTGTTTATTAGCATAAGCTGTGTCTATCTCGTTTTAATTAAAAGTTAGAGGTTAATATCCTTTTTATCACCTTTAGATTTCAGTAGATTTTCTTATTTTCTCTTAACAATAATTTTTTGATAATAACAATTGATTATTACAATTAATTATTGAAATTAATTATTAAAATTGATTAAAATTAATTATTACAATTAATTATTAAAAATAATTATAACAATTAATTATTACAATTAATTATTAAATTAATTATTAGAAATAATTATTACAAATAATTATTATAAAATAATTATAACAATTAATTATTATAATTAATTATTGTAATTAATTATCACCATTAATTATTAAATTATACTGATTCAACTTTTTTACTTCGTTGAAAATACTTTTTTTTATTCTTAAAGAAGATATATAAATAGGTGAGTTCACATTTTCCAGCTCTCTATTAATAGATCTATTTTAAATTACTCACGCAAATAAAGTCAAAATTAAATCAAATATAATAAAAAAAAAATATTCCTATCATTATAATAATATAAAATTACCTTGAATCGTGTTCTGTTTTTTCTATTTTCTCTTTCTCTTTTTGTTCTTTTTCTTCGACAATTTTTTGATAAAAGTTTTTCCACATTGCTTCTTCATTCATTTTGATAAAAAAAAAAAAAAAATAAAATTATTCACACTAACTGCAGTTTCAATTGATAAATAATTTTTGACACAATTATTATATGGACAACAGCATCCAGAGAGTATAATTTGATGCACGTCACGTTCTCCTTTTGTACTATGACATACCTCTCTCTCTTGGTTTCAAGTGTATATCTGAATATGTATGTCACTGTTTTAAAGTCACCTGATTTAATTCAAATTTCACTTTCACGTTAAATAAGAAAAATATAATTTTTTTTTAAACTGTAATTAAAAAAGAGAAAAAAAAAATTATTAATGTCACTAAATTCGAAATACCGGACAAAAAGTTGAGGACAAGGAGATATATACCGGCTGACACCCATCACACACCGGGAGGTCTATATAAACTATAGAAGTAGGTACATTCCTTATCCGTCAGACAAGAGTTTTCATGTGATTCGAATTTTTGAATCAGATGGCGGCACCTCACGGTATTTCAATATAAGAAAAAAAATCGAAAGAATTATTTATAATAAAATTATTTATTTAATGATAAATAATTTTTTTTAAACTTAAGGGTATTTTTTTTTATTTTTACAAATTTGTAAACCCGTACATTGTAATTAAATAAATAAATTTTTTTTCAAATTTACTTTTTAGGAGTATTTACTCCTAAAATATTTAATTTATTTTTTGCAAAATTTGCAATTTACATATATTTATTTATAGTTTTTTATATTATTATTTTTTATTTACTATTTATTTGCAAAATTTCTGTTTTTTTGAAATTATACACAATATTTATAATTAATCTAGAATTTATTTAATTAAATCATATTTTCAAAAGTTATAATTAATTAAATAATAATAATAATAATAATAATAATAATAAATTTAATAACTAATCTATACAGAAATATATCTCTGTAATATATGATGGTTCATTAAAAATTAATTTATAAGTGTACATTCTGATTCAAAGCAGATTTAAAAAATAATATTCATGCACTGACATCATCATCATCATCATTATTAATAATATTTTATATAAAAAAAATTGATAAAATTCATGCATGACTCTCTGATGTTTTATTATTAACTCAATTGTTTAACAATTTTCTTTTCAATTTTCTAACAAAATCTTATAATTTAATTTATTTTATTGTTTCAATAAATAATTAAAAAAGGCTTTTCTGTATGAGCCAAAAATTTTGACCGTTCAAGTGAACGAAATTTTTTTTTGCAACTTCTTCAAGTTCGAATTTTATTACAAAATATTGTTTTAAATATCTAAAAAGAAGTTACCTATTTAATTTGATAATTGTTTAATTGACTCTTTTATTTTACATTGACATTATAATTTTTAACAATTTATAGATTATTCTTAGTCTATTGCAATTAAGGTTCAATTGGTAGGTTTTTTTGAAGGTATTAGGTGTTGTTTTAAGGTAAAAAAAATAATAGAAACATGCTGATTAATTTTATTTGAATTTTTTCATTTTCCAGGAAAACATTCTATCTAAAAAAATGGAATATAATTGATTATTCTTAGTCTACTGCAATTTAGGTTCAATTGGTAGGTTTTTTTGAAGGTATTAGGTGTTGTTTTAAGGTAAAAAAATAATAGAGACATGCTGATTAATTTTATTTGAATTTGTAAGGAATTTTTTCATTTTCCAGGAAAACATTCTATCTAAAAAATGGAATATAATTGATTATTCTTAGTCTACTGCAATTTAGGTTCAATTGGTAGGTTTTTTTGAAGGTATTACGTGTTGTTTTAAGGTGAAAAAATAATAGAGACATGCTGTTTAATTTTATTTAACTTTGTAAGGGATTTTTTCATTTTCCAGGAAAACATTCTATTCAAAAAAATGTAATAAAATTTATTATTTTTAGTCTACTGAAATTTAGGTTCAATTGGTAGGTTTTTTTTTGAAGGTAAAAGGAGTTGTTTTAAGGTAAAAAAATAATAGAGACATGTTGATTAATTTTATTTGAATTTGTAAGGGATTTCTTCATTTTCCAGGAAAACATTCTATCTAAAAAAAATCAAAAAAAATTGATTATTCTTAGTCTACTGCAATTTAGGTTCAATTGGTAGGTTTTTTGAAGGTATTAGGTGTTGTTTTAAGGTAAAAAAAATAATAGAGACATGCTGATTAATTTTATTTGACTTTGAAAGGGATTTTTTTAGAGCTGTGCAATGTTCGAATCGAATCGAATTTTGTTCGGTTTTTAATGACCCTGGCTCGAATTTCGAACTTTCAACATTCGAACTGGACTGACTCGGATGTCGGATTTTCGACATTCGAACTGGGCTCGGCGTAAAAATTCGAACAGTTCGGTTCGATTTATTTTGCACAGGTCTACTTTAAATGTTTATATTTTTAAAATATGTTTATTTAATTTTTTAATATTTTGTATTATTATTATTATTTTATTGTTTACTATATTTAATTAGCAATAATTACGTAAAAATAGTTCAGTTTATATAAATAGAAACTATTTTGTATTTATTTTTAAGTTAACAAGATTATTTTTACGAGATTCTAAAAATTATCTCATTTGCTTTTCTTTGAAAAAAAATGCAAATGAAACTTAGCAACATTCTTAGGATAAGATATACTCTTATTTATGAATATGTGAGTAATAAAAATCAGTTAAAACTATATTTTACAAAAATTTGACAGAATTGATATTATCTCACATATAAAATGAAAGAAAAGTTAGAAAATAACAGCATTACAAAAATGCATCGTGTAAAATTCGTTGTACTTTTACAAATAGGTAAGTTATATTACTAGTTATTTTTATTTTTTTAATTAAAAAACCCTATATAAACAAGTTTTTTTAATTTTTTTTTATTAAAAAAACCCCAAATAATTTGTTTATTATTTTATTTTTCTGTAAAAAAAGAAAGTTAATCGATTATATTAAAATTTCAGTTATCTGCACTTTTGTCGAGAGCAAAATAAGTAACGATATTTATAATGAAAAAATAAATATCAAAACATTAAAAACTGATAAAAATTTCATATTTGGAAAATCTGTGACAGAAGTAGAAAAATCAGTAAAATCTTTTATATTATTTTTAACAGTTCCATTGGAAAAACATCTATTACAGGACTTTAGGAAATGTTCATTTAAAAATAATTTTAAAAAAGCAATCACCATTTCCAGTGAAATTATTGTGGAAAATATACGAGCTTTTCGGAGAAAATTGGGAATTTTCAAAAATAATAATTCAAATCCTATTAAAGTATCATTATCCGATAGGAATAATACTTTGAAAAGTAACATAATTCAAAATGGATTAATAGTTGCAACAGAATTTATGGATCTTGTCACAGATATCAATAATATTGGTACGAAATTCTTTTTTGATAATCAAAACTCAATGATAAATTTCAATGTAAAATCAAATTTACCAATTAAAGATTTATTTCTTTTTACAAGTAAATTTTTTATTTACATCGATTGTGCAACTAATGATACTAATATTAAAAGAGGTATCAAATATTTATATTCACATTCTTCAGTAGTGGATAATTTGAAAAAATATCTCAAAACACCGCCTAAAAATCAAAATACATTTCAAAATTTGTGTTATTTTTTTGCAAATATATTCCCAGGTGGATATGATAAATGTATGCAAAAATTAAATAATGCATATTCTTGTATACAATATCAAATTCCAATACAATTATCGCAAGAGGGAACAGAAAGTTACGAAATTTTGGAAAATATGAAAAAATTATTTTCCAAAAAATGGATGAACAATGTACGAATTTTAAAATCTGAATGTAAAATAAAAAGAAATGAATTGAAATGTGATTTTAATAACAAAAAATTAAGAAGTACAAAAAATCAAGTAAAATATATTATTGAAAATTTTTTCGGCCACAAAATAGAAAGTGAATCTTTATCTAAAATAACTAACCAATTTTCAAGTGTGATGTCCAAAAATTTAGTGACAAAGAGAATAATTCGTAATTGTTGTGATTATATCATGATTTGGCGAGTTGGACAAAAAAAATTGAATATTCTTAAAAAAATGTTTAAAAAAAATCCACAAGTTTTGAAGGAATATAAAAAAGTGTCGAAATCTTTTTATAATTACAAAAATGGAGTTATTGAACAATTATTAAATGCTATTGTTGTATTTAATCAAATTCCTCTCTATTTAGAAAAGTCATTAGTGAAAATTTTATCAAAACAATCAAATCCGACACTTTTTGGTTCAATATTGATGTATTTATCAAGATTAATAAGAGCAATTTTTAATCGTGATTCTAGTTACAAGTTTGACGTTGATTATTATGAGAATTCTAATGGTCTCACTGTAATTCAAGAAGGTAATTTTTAAATTTTTTTTGTCATTAATTACAATAATTTCATTTATCACTGAATTTGTATTAGTAAAAAATTTTAATTAGCTAAATTTTTTACTTATTTAATTTAATTTTATTTTAATGATATTGTTTTTATTTATTTCAATTTTATTTTTTTCCAAATTTTTAAAAATTAGATAATGCATTAATCGAATTTTGTTTTTCTAGAATTTCCTTATTTTCATCAAAAAATGTCAACAGAAGATCTTTTTGACAACATGCTGAGAACGATGAGTCATCTAAAAAATCGAGATTTGTCAAAGAAAAATTCAGTTTTCAATGGTGGACTTACAAATATTTTATTGGTACTAATGTTTCTCGAGACACTTTCTGCAGTTACATATTTAATATCACAAAATATTAATATTTCACAACCATTTCCTGTGGAGAATGAAGAAATACCAGAACTAGATTCAAATGAGAACGACAGTGATGATAATGAAGATGAAAATATTGATGATCAAGAAGAAATTGAAGATGAAGAGACGGAAAACGAAGAAGAAGAAGAAGAAGAAGAAGAAGAAATTAAAGAAAAAATACCTTTATTTCAATTTGGAAAACGAAAAAAACGATTCCTTTACGATTTCAATTTTTCAAATTCCTCTATATTTACGTAAAAAAATTTTTTTTTTTCAAAATCAGAAAATTCGAAAAAATTTTGATTTAAAATAAAATTCATATAATTATAACTGACATATTATTTTTTACTACCTTCATAACTGTTATCATTTATTTCACAACTAGAACTATTATCAAAAGAAACAAAATCTCTGCAGTTCAGAGAGATATCAGAGGCAGGTAAATGAGGACAGTATAGATTTTCTAGGTCATTTTCCGTAATGACATAATATGAAGATTAAAAAAAAAAAAGGTACAAAAATGTAAATTTACCATTTTTTGTTAAATATTATTTTTTGTCATTTACTAAAAAAAAACAATTGAAAGAAATTCAAGAAAAAGGTACAAAAAAGATGTTAATTTATCATTTTTTAATAAATGAGATTTTTTTTCTCATTTACTAAAAAACAATATTGAAAGAAAAAATGGAAAATAAAAGAAAAAATAAAAACAATAAAGAAATGTGAAAAATTTGAAATAATATGAAAGAGAAAGTTATATAAATTACAATGATTGAAAATTAAAATAAGATAAATTTTGAAGAATATATGTTTTTACACTCAGTGACCCACAAATTTTTCAGCGTTATTATTTTTAATCTTAGTTTTGAAAAGTAGCATTTCTAAGCGTGGATTTTATGATTCATAAAAAAAAAGACCTGTATATATCATGACCCATAAATTATTGTTACCTGTTAGACTCTTCATAAAGATTATTTGTATACATATAGAACTTTGCTTGCGGTATTTTGTATTCCCTAGACACTTCTTTGTCAGTTTATCCCACTTTTTTTAAATAATGAAACCGGGGGCCTTTATTTACAAGTTGGTGGTGGAAAAAATCTTCAGATGTAAAACATCACTTTGAAAATGAGGATTACTTTCAGTCTCGTCTGGATTCTCGGTAAGTACCTACTTTTATTATTAATATTTATTATTATTTAATAAAATAATTAGTAATTAATAAATTTTTCTATTTTAAGAAATAATAATTTTCTCCACGAGTGCACAAGGAAATAAAAACAAGACAATTTTATATGCACAATCTAAAGTCGTCGGAGGACAGAGATTACCAATTATAGATCGACCGTACATGGTAAATTAAATTATTGCAATAATAAATTTATTTAAATAAATATTTCTGATTTATTTAAATAAAAAAAAAAAAAATTATTTTTTGAAACAATTTTTTGAAATGGTATTTTTTCACAAAAATTAGCTGTCTGTTCATCTTAGACAAAAAGGTTTTCAATGTGGTGCTATTATCTTATCGGAAGAATGGGGACTAACAGCACAACATTGTTTGTAAGTATTTGATCTATAATAAAAAATCCAAAAAAAAAATTTTTTTTTCTTCAAATTTAATTATTAAATTATTTTCTATACCTAAATTAATTTAAAATATTATTTTCTATAAGTTAATTTAAAATATTATTTTCTATAAATTAATTTAAAATATTATTTTAATTAAAATATTTTTAAAATACTAGCAGAATTCTGGATCCAAAACAATATGTGGTTCGAGCGGGATCAGATCAATTTCAAAGAGGTGGATCATTACATCGAGTGACGGAAGTTGTAGTTCGTGATATTTCATTTTTACATGAAAGAATTCCACTTTATGATATTGCACTATTTAAAGTTTCACCTAAATTCAGATTTTCAATTTTCGTTCAACCGGCAAAATTACCATCTGCTGATTTAGAATATGATCCTCCAATACTTGTCATTTCCGGTTGGGGTTCAACAATGTCATCTACTGGCAATCGTATGTCAAGAAAGGTAAAATAATTTTTTATATGGCTTAAATTTTGAATTTTTTTTTTTTTTTTGAGAAAATAAAAAAAAATTATTACATTAATTGAAAATAATATTTCAATTATTTTCAGTTAATTTTGTAATTTAATTTCAAATAATATTTCAATTTTGTAATTTAATTTCAAAAAATATTTCAATTTTGTAATTTAATTTCAAATAAAATTTCAATTTTGTAATTTAATTTCAAATAAAATTTCAATTTTGTAATTTAATTTTCAAAAAATATTTCAATTTTATAATTTAATTTCAAATATAATATTTGAATTTTGTAATTTAATTAAAAAAGTAATTTTTTTTTTTGCAGGAAAAAGCAGTGGTTTCAACATATTTAATGGGAGCTCGAGTACCATTTGTGAGCTATGAAAAATGTTCTTTAGTGTATCCTGAAATTTTGCGAAATAATTTGCATATTTGTTATGGTGGTCGTGGACTTGATGCTTGTACAGGTGATTCAGGTGGACCACTTGGCGATAGATATACTGTTTATGGGATTATTTCTTTCGGATATGGTTGTGCACAACCACAAATTCCTGGAGTTTATACCCGACTATCAACACACAGAGAATGGATTCGAACAATATCAAGTGTATAATTTCCTATGTTATATATTGCACTAAAAAAAAAAATTCGATTTAAATAATCGATTACTTGACTATTATAATAAATATTTATTTTTTATTAAATAATTATTATTTGACTCAATTAAATCGTATTTGTTTCAAATACAGAAATTATTGATTCAAATAAAGTACAATTATTTGGTTTCAAAAATTATTTAAAAGTAAATATTTATTTGATTATAGTAAAGTAACGTTGATAAAATTCCACAAAGATTTAGATCAACTATTTAGATGAAAAAATATTTTTCAATGCCAATATTATTATATAATTTTTCATCTAAAAATTTCTTTTCTATGTTCAATAATTATGAAACTAAAACTGTATAAAAATTTAAGAAAAGAATTTGTAGGCAAAAAAATTAATTATTAATTACTAAGTGAAAATTATTCTTTTCTTCAATCGTTGATCATAAACTTTGTGAATTTCAACGATCAAATAACGGATTATTTAAATCAAATAACTTTTTTTTCACATATCTATAAATTGTTATACGTGGAAAATGGTAATTTTTTTTTTGGCTTATCGAAAAAGATGATATTATAATTTTAAACCCAATTTTAATGTAAGGCATTTTTTTTTAGATCGCATCGCATATTGTAAATAATCAAAATTCATTAAATTATTGACTGAAAAAAATTATATTCTAAATTTAAAACATTATTTTTAATTAGCAATCAAGACACTTTAAATTAAGATTAAAATTCTAAATTAGAATAAAATGTATAATTTGAAAACTTGAACAAAAATTATAATAATAAAATTATTTATATTACAGGTTTTTTTTTATTGATTATTATTAAACAAAAATCGAATTATTAAATATATTAAATTTGGGCGCTTGGAAAAAATAAAATAAAGTACTTGGGGACATTAGATTAATGTATTTTTGTGAATTAAGGGTCAGAAAACCACCTGCTTAGCACGCGACAGGGAGGAATTTCATAAAGGGGAGATTTAAAGCACCCTGTCAATTTACAACCCTAACAATAATTATTCAAATAAGAAGGGATAATTATTGTACTTTATATATTTAATTTATTTATGATTTTTTATGCAATATTTATTATTATTTTTTTTAAATTTTAAATTTCGTTTTCTTTATTTATATATTAAATTCTAAAATTTTTTTGAAAAGGATTTGTTTTTAAAAATAAAAAAAATAAAATCATGCTTTATCTATATTTTCGAACAATTTTTAAAATTACTGGAAAAACTTTCACAAATAAAATCATATGGCTTATCTTAAATCGTGAGTATTTTAAAGAGGAATCCTTCGCATTATATATGTATATATATGAAAACAAGTTACAAAAGAGGCATTCGAATCACGAACCGTGGTCCCTTCAATCGTTCAGGTCCGATGAACGCGGGAAGTACATTACACGTGCTGTGCCACACGTAAATGTACTTTTACTGTATGTTTCAGGTGCACATTCAAAAAAAAAAAATAAAAATAAAATAAATAACCCTACAGTGCCGTATTAAACGGATTTTAAATTTCTATTTCCTAATTTTTTTCAAATTAGACCCGAAATTTAATATTCGCTCAAATAAAACATTTTTATATTATAATAATTTTTTATTAATTTAATTATTTACATTACTCTAAATTGTCAAATTTTTCTTTTTATCATGCAAAAAAAAAAATAAATTCCAAAGTTCAAATATTTCAACTTTGGTATATTGTTAGCAAGTATAATTATATATGCATACTTGTCAACAATTAGAAGTTGTTGAAACATTAATTGCATTTTATAAATTATAAGTTTAAAAGAAAAAAAAAATTAAATTTTTCATTGATTACGCAAATGATTCTTGGAATATGACATTAATGAAAGTAATAAATTTTTTATACTTAAATTATTATTTATTTCCCTTAAATATTTAAAAAAAATAAAAAATAAACTAATAATAACTAATTATAAAAAAATATTGACTACTTAATTATAAACACTGAAAAAAATTTTGATTCAAATAATCGGGTAATTTATTTGTTAAATAAATATTTATTTGCATCAAATAATTTTTATTTGAATTCAATAATGGAATTAATAATTTATTAATTGAAGCAGTAAATACCATTTAATTTAGATTAAATAATAATTATTTAATACAAATAAATATTTATTTGATAATAGCCAAATAACTGATTATTGGAATCAAATAAATAATAAATAATAAATAATAAAATAGTATAATAGAAAAATAATAAATAATTAATAAATAAATTTTGTTTTTAGTGTATATTTTTTTAAATTTCAGTAAAATTAGAAACTAAATTTATTTGAATATTTTCTTTATAATTTATAAATTTATATAATTATATTTATACTTATAAATATAGTTTACAATAATAATTTATTTATAATAATATTTTATAATAAAATTTAATCTAAATCTTCTGTTAAATTATTTATGAAAAATAATTTTAAGAAAAATCAAAAAATTTAAAAATTATACTTTGGAAAATGACTTATTACGCTACTGCTAGTTGAATAATCAACTGTATCTATCATTTACCCGGTTGAGTCACTGTCTACGTTTCCCTCTGGAGAATTACCAGTTTTCAGGGGGTTTCTCGAGTACACTGTGGGAATCCGAATATATTGTAAAATAAGATCATTTTTTTTTTTTTTTTTTTGTTGTTACAAAAGTGTGAATTTTCCAATGCTTTTTGTGAGAAATGAATGAAATCATCTAATTTATTGATTTATATTTAAAAATAAAAATTCGACTTCCATATAAATGATGTCACAGGTTTTTTGGCAATCTTACACCCCCCATCTCCCTTGAATTGTGACATCATTTATGAAAGCCGCTTTAGTTAAATAATTTGCAAATTTCTATCGATTCATTCATAAATTTTGTATCTGCAAAGTAAATGATTTTTTTCTTGTTTTTATTAACAATTATTTATTTATTATTTATTATTATTTTTTAAAAAATTATAGAAAAAAATTAGTTTTTTTCACTTTTTTAGTAAAGTGTTAATGGCTTAAATTTTTATTTTTATAAGTATTTACTTTTTTTCCCAATTAAATACACCAATTTCGAATTTTAGAGAAAAAATTCACTTTCCATTGAATTTTTCTTTAATAAAATTATTGAATTTTTTTTTTTACATGAGACCTTGTATTAGCCGCTCATGACAACTATTTTCCATTGATCAATTAAATACATTATCCTTTCTTATACAATGGATATATAGTAATATTACGAAAAAACTTGAAATATCTAATTAAGTCCAAAAAAAAAAATTTCTTAATTACCTTGTACTTGGATCAATTTTATGTCGAAGACTTTTGATAATTTCTCGTTTTATCTTAAAATATAATCCACAGCCAAAATTTTTGTTTTCTTCTTCACCTTCTTCAAGTTGTACACCATCACATTCACTTTTATTAATAATTATTATTTTTTCTTTAGTTTTAATTTTATTTCTTCGCAAAGTTTTTGATGATAGTGGTTCAAAACTTTCTAATTCACTAAATTGTTTAAAATATTTATAATAATCCTCATTCAATACAGTATCGGTAATAATTGAAAGATGTTTATTATTTGCATAAGAATTGTCTTTTTTAAACACTTCACTTGTATTGTCATTTTCAATTTCTTTTTTCTTCGTTAAATTTATTTTTGATTTTTCAAAAACCGACAATAATTTTGGTTTTTGTTTTGATTTTGAGCCAACTTTTTCAAATATGTGTGTCATTTTTTTTTCGTTATTTAAAACAAAAAGACATATCGAAAAAAATAAGTTTTTTTATAATTAATTATTTTATAAATTATTTATTTTTCGAAATTTTTTGTTTTGTTTCGAAATTTTTTATTTGGAACTTTTTTTAATTGAAATTTATTAATGATTAAGAAAGGTGAATTTAAACAACACGGTTTGATGGTGAAAATGATACTGAATGGTATTGTAACACAAACATAGGTAGAAACATAAGAGGGAGTGATTTGATGGTTGTAAACCCAGGAGTCGAGTCATTGTACTTTCCCACTCTTAGGACTCTTCCCCCTCTTTAATTTTACAAAATTAGTTTTTTTTTTTTGTTGATACCTAATTCAATATTTTAATAACAAAAAAAAAATTGTCTTCTTTGATATAAAAAAAATATCAATGAATATTCTATAAAAATTAATAGATAAAAAATAAATTTTTTTTTTTGATATTTGACAATAAATTAATTATTTTTTAATTAAACATTTGATAATAAATTAAATAACTCTAAATTAGTGGAATAAAAAGAAAATTGAATAAAATAAAGTTGATGTAAAAAATGAACATTTTTTTATTTCTTATCAAATTCATAAACGAGGACATGAATTTATTTTCGCATATCTGACTAAATTTTAATTCCTCGATTAAACAAACTCATGACATAATTTATTGCTTTGTTTACTTTCACATTCTTTTCTTTGAGAAGAAAATCTTTTTAGTCATAGAATCATCAATTTAAAAAAAAAACTGTAATTAATTATTAAAAAAAAGTCACATCTTTGATACCATTACAGGATAATTATCAATATTTATCATAAGAAAAAATATATTTTAAATTTTCAATATATTTGGAAATATTACAACAATAATTATTAATATAATATAAAGAATGATTTTATCATTCGGTCGACAGAATTTATTTCATTATTTTAATAATAATTGTTAATATTTTTAAAAAATTTAATTATTTTTTAATAAAGATTCCTTTTTTCTTTTGTCAACAGCTGTTTGTATATATATAAAAAATGCAAAGCATCACTTTTATCTTGTACAATATAGACTGAACAATACCTATGGGGATATGACTTGAATAATTAATATTGCATTTGAAAGATACTTAATATATCAATACAATTTATTTTTAGATCTAACAAAGTTATTCTGTATTGAAATTAAAAATTTTTTTTTGAAAAAATTTTATATTCGCATCTTTATATATAAATCTATTTAAAATAAAAGAATGAAAAAATTTAATTTATCAGTCCAGTTCATTATATATGTAAATTGAACCAAATATACGTCGCGCCATTCTAAATTGAAACACAAAAT